GCATCAAGTTACTGAATGACATAAATGAGACAATCTAATGAAACTGCACTAATTGTAAGATCAAACAACGATTGTACACATTTAAAAGTCATTCTGAATGCTAAGCGAAATTGAATGAGATTAAAAAGAATTCAGGTATTTACAAGGTGATATAATTGCTTCCCAGTTACGTCAATTGATCATGTGTGTTCTAATATTTTGAAGCACTAATGGTAAGCCGTCATTTTAAATGAGATCCCAGTTACCATTATGTATAGATCAAAGAATAACTAATAGTGACAGCTTCGTTAGAGTGTACAGGCAGTATATTAAGGAAAATAATGATGATTTAAGAGTAATAGCTTCCATTATTGTGACCAAACTAACAAATCGAGCACTAACAATTACCATTACATAAATATATGTGTAAGTGCTCATGGAGATAGTGAAATCCATATTAGTGACAAAGCTACTTGGCAAGCGCCTGCGCGACATTTGGTCCTGTGGAGATATAAATGTCTTCATAAGGTGCATGCTGTTCAACATTAATCGCTTGCGACTTCTTCAAGACCAACAACGTGTAGAACTTCTGCGCAGCAGTCTTCCGAGTGGCTCCCTTTGTGAGAAGATCGTTGAGCGTGATCTGAATAACAGAACTTGTTTCGGTTTTGACCAAATCCCTCACGCAATTTTCATTGCTTCCCTAAGGTTATATTCAGATAATAAGTGTTGCAAGAGTCACGCTCACTTATACACCATGCATTCTCAAGACCCCATAAATAATGTATAACATTCAGTTTGGTATTTCTGCAATACTTTAACGGCTCATACCGATAGAGAGGTCGTGGACATGCGATGCAGGTGGTACTGCATTAGCATCAGCACCTAACTGATCTGACGTGAAAGTGCTACAGAATGTCGGGTCAACCAGCTACGAAATACATGCTGGTTGCTGCGTCTCATCACAACAGGAACTTTTTTCCTAGACGCCTTAGGCTGCGTTCATACTTTGCGTCAGCGTCTACCAGCAATCACTACCGTCCACCAGTCCGGAGCGTACGCCAGCGACAGCGACTAGGAAAGTATAGATATCGATCTAGCGAATGCGAGTGTCCACCAGCGCCCAATCGAGCAGCGTTTCGCGGGCACTTTTGAACTTCAGCAAAACTTCTTGCGAAAACGCTGCTGGTGGACGCTGGCCTTCGCTAGATCGATAACTATGCTTCGTTAATCCGCCGAGAAGCTGTTAGACACTGTCGTTTGTTAGACCGATATCTATACTTTCCTAGTGGCTGCTGACGTATGCACGAGACCCTGGTGAACGCTGACGCAAAGTATGAACGCATATGTATTGTAACTGTCTACTCAACACGAAGCGTATGGAGCTATTTAACGGCCCGTCATTTTCGAGACCTCCGCGCATGCTATCCCTCATTTGATTAAAAGAGTCATTAAATCCACAGAAACATTAGCCTTGTTTTGCGGGTCTGCGTCTCCATGAATTGGGGCACATAAGCAAAAGCTCTCGTGAATGTACTGGAGCTGTCTTGATATTTTAAATTATAAACATTTTACTGTTTTTCATATTCATTCATTCGGAGAAATAACTTGGTCCTAGAGAAGGGTTAGTATGCTTTTGTTTGCGTCAAGATTTCAGTTCTAGAATATCCGCGATACTTATAAATCGTGAGGCTCAACAGACGTTTCATTTTATTTACGGTCCTTGGATTCAACATAACCATTTCCAGATATCGATCCATCAATTAATAATCATCTCATTGTTTGTTTTTTTTAGTTGTACCAGTCACATTTGGTGATGCGAGCTCGCGTTGAGGAAGACGTCGTCAAAGCTGATGAAATTCGACGGGAACTGGAGATGTCAGAAACTATCGACGATGAACTTCAGTACGGAGCTGTACGTTATTTCATATGCTTGTTTTCATTGGCGTCATTTGCATCAAAAACGCTTGCGGATACTATTCTATAGTCTGGTTTCGATACACGCGTACTTGAAAGTCCTTCCATGATGCGTGTGCA